ATATATATATATATATATATATATATATATATATATATATACGGCGCTTTGAAACCGCTGAAGCAATTTTCCGGCCGAGTTCCTCCTCCAATTTGTGGTCTTGTGTCTTGATGTTTTTCCAACAAATAGAGGGACCTACAGTTTTTACACTAAGCCGCCTCTGAACGGCTGATGGTGTTTTTATGAGTAGCTTGATTTTCATGTCAGAAATATACTCGTAGGCGTTGACATTTCCTGCCGAGGTGGGACCGCAATGAGAAAATTCAGCTTAATTTTTTATTTCAATTAAATTTCCCATGACTTTTGGATGTTGGTCGAACGAGGATTTAAACCGGAGTCTTCCGAATGACAGTACACAATGCTAACCACTGGCTAAAACAGACTAAGATAAAAAAGCATGCAATTTATGCAAAATAGTGTATAACTTTTTACTAAACCTAAAATAAAAAAAATAAAAAATATAATCACCAAAAGTCAGCAGAACTGGAAAACTCCATTATATGGCGCCCTCCCACCAATTTTTCAGTTATGAAGAAAGTATTTAATCGTAGATTTAGCACTGCCGAAGTCTGCTCTTCTTCTTCTTTTTTGTTATTTCTGGGAAAGAGTTACTATTAAAATTTGTTATGTCAAGAAAAATTGGAAATAAATAAAGTATGAATAATTTTTTATTGTGACATTAGAGTTCCCTCTATTAATTTCTGAAAATGTGTAATTAACACTAAAATATTTTGACTCACTTCCCCCTCTCATTTATTGTAGAAAATTACAAATTTATATATCTACAGAGTTTAGCTGACTCAAAGAATGCCATAAAGCGTTCGACTAGAAATACATTCATGGAACTTTATTGCACTTTTCTGCTGAATTTCATCTAACACATACGTTTACATATGTACGTATGCACAGTAATTTTATTTATTTTAATAAATCTAATAAATTTTTATACATTATTACATATTACCCTTAAATATGAATATAATTGTAATGTAACGTAGTTTTACGAAAATTAATAATCAACAACAATTTTCTTGTTAAACTATTTTTAAAAAATATTTGGGTTCTGGTATATTTACGTTAACATTAAAATTCAATTTCACCAAGCTCATAGGAAATCACATATAATTAAGTGTGAATATTTATGTTGGCATATTCGTATGTATGTACTAGCGGAAGTGTAGGTATGTCTGTCGGGAGAGCATAAATGCTGTTCATATCACTTGCTAATGCCCAGTCTAATTAGAAGCGTACAGATTTTTTATGACGCAGTCATTTTATTTTCATTCGTACTATGTAAATAACATATACGAGTATGTATGCGTATATATGTTTATGTAACACACATAATTACGTATCTAAAAAAGTCAAATACACAAACAATTTATATTAGAACTTAGGCTGTTTGGCTTAACGCAACTAAACATCAAAAGCATACAGTTAGTTGTATATATCTACATACATAAGTATAAGTGATACACGCGCAACTTTGTATACAACAATATTAATTAGTATATATTAATAACAGTAAAAAAATTTAATTTTTAGAAATTTTTCCAAGAAAATTTTTTTTTACGAAATTTTGCTTAAACAAAAATGCTAACAATAACAGCAGTTCCTAAAAAAATATATATATATATAAAAGCACTTTGTACACCCCACTCCAACTTGTCAGAGTTTTCAGTCAGATTTAACCGTACACCCTACAGCAGTTGCATCAGTTTACGCGTCTAATAATCACTTCCAAGATGTCAATCGTCACATAACCACACAAAAAATGGTATAGCGATGTTAAATCGCACGACCTTGGAGACCACGTTACAGGCCCGCAACCCAAAATAATGCTCACACCCAAAGTTTACTTCCACGAATTGCTGATTTCGTTGGCTTTATGACATGTAAAGTCGACTTGTTGGCACCAAAGGTCGTTCACATCAACATCCAACAGTTCAAGCACTAAAATGTCAGTAATTATGACTCTAAAGCGTTCCTTATTCATCGACTATAACTTTGTAGTCGGCTTAATTTTTTGAAAGCGTATGAGCCAATGATTCCCTCATGGGTCACGGATGTAACGGCGTCTCAACAATGGTTTTGGGGTTACTATAACAGCATCATTTTTTAATTATTAACGTATCCTGATGTGAAAGAATCGGAATCGGTGGGTATCTCGCTTAGGGCCCATTCACGTCTCGAATATTCGATCTTGAAGAGAGTTCGGCTTCAATTCTTGCACGAGTTGGATTTATTAGGCTTGCAAACCAAGAACTTTCAACAAAATTTTCCATGAAGCCAGAGTAAGCGTGATGTGAAACCGATGGTTGTTCGCATAACCGACTTTGCTGGACGATTAAGCCAAAATATTATTTTGGCAATAAATTGCACGATATTCGAATTTTATTTCGGAGTAGGTTTGTTCATGCTGAAATGTCATGCCAAACTGATTATAAATCTGGTAACAGATTCCAAAAAAGGCTAACTAAAAAAATACACTCTATCAAGCCCGCTATGTCGTATGAGCAACATTTGGGCCAACGGGTAAAATGCAAAAAAAAAAAATCGAAATTTAGGGAACCCACCTTAACAAACTCAATGAGATATGCGACTCTTAATTCTAGCCAAAAACGACTCATATATAAAATGGGTCACTGTGTAAAATGAAATAACTAATGTTTCGGTATGCCTCGTCTAACTCAACCTTCTTCAGATTTCAGTAAAACCAAAATACATATGCTCAACGTGTTCTAAACGAAAATGGCAATTGATTTCTCTTTAATTAGCATTGAAAATAGATCACAGCTCTTTGGCATATTTTTATACATACGTACGCAACATATTAGCTTCTTTGTTGGTGCCTAAATTTAGTAGATGAGTTGAGCTGCTGATTTTGTTACTTCTGTTGGGCTTCATACCGTGCACTGCTGTTTGGTTTCTGGATCGTACTTATAGCACCAAGATTCGTCACCAGTCACGACTTTACTAAAGTTGCTAGACTGACCATTTTGGAATTTGTTTAGGAAAATTTAGCAAAATGTACTCGAGCCTCTTTTTGGGCCTCATTTAAAATTTCTGATACCCTTCGAGTAGATTTCTTCATTTATCCTAGATAATTGCTTAATATTCCCGATGTAGTCATGGCAAGTGGAAGATTCTGATCGACCTTTTCGGTGTTCGTCCTCTACGGAAAAATGACCGGTCTGGAACCTTCGGTACCATTCAGAAATAGTCTTTAAACATAGTGCAATCGTTCCATATGTCATCTGGCATTCATTTAATATTTGTATTAGCTGTGAATTACACCGAAATCCGAAGAGAATTTCTGTTTCCCTTCAAAGTGGAATTTCGTCTGACTTATCCTCAGCTATCTTGCGGTTGATTGTCTCCATTTTAACCGATCGTTCTAAAATTGGAAAGGAAGACTAATTATGTAATTGCAAAAGTTTTGGTATTTTTAGATTTAACGAAAATAAATTGAACGTCACCAACTGAGCGAACTTTTGTGAATCCCCTTGTAATTGCTTATGTAGGCTTTCTCACACACGTGTACAAGTAAATAATTTATTAACAAGATGGAAGACTTGTATGTCAAAGAACGGTATTCTTTTTATTTATAGCAGATGAACATTCTCCATATTGTTGCATACATACGTACGGGCAACTTTTTTTATCCTTTTTCCATTTTTCTGTTGGAATACATTAGGCGGTCTTGACGTTACTGCTAAGAGCGCACAGTAAAAATACTATAATTCCTTAAAGGTTGCCTTGCTGAGAACCTTATGCCTTTTGACCCATTTTGATACCATTTGCTTGACATTATTATGTAAGTAGATGCTCAAGCTAACCCAGCTCCAAGATTTTCACATTTTCTAATGTTAGACAGCAAAGAAAAGTTCATTAAAATTACGAGCTCATAAAGTATACTGGCAGCTGTTGTTGGCCAAAGGCTATTATTCCTCTAAAACAATATAAAAAAATTGGTTATAATGAGCGTTGTCTACAACCTATACCTGTCGAGCTTTTATACTCCAATTTCCCGTCCTTCACTCTCCGATCAAAAGTCTGACCTGTCTGACCTCGCTTATAGTTTTGTCATTCCAACTGTTATATAATATGATCTTTCTTCTTGTTAGCTCGTCGCTTCCCAGTTTCCTGGATATTGTTGTCTACGGCAACCGTAGCCACGTTTGTTTTACATATATCGGAGGATCTTTTTATACCTTATTCTCATATTGGACGGAGAGTTAATGATAGTTTCGACTTTTATATATATCGAGGCGGCTGTTACATTTGCATTACCAGAACGGTGGAAGCTGAACTGGCTTACCGTCTGAGGTATTCAAGCATGGTTGTGAAGTATTGATGCATGCGCGATGATCAGAATCTGAGTTTACTATTCAAAGTACACAAAAAAAGGGCGATCCCACAATATGTATTAGGGAAGATATTGAAAATCGACGTCAATGAATCGGTTAACCTTAACAGTGTGACTTCAAACTTGGCCAATCAACCATTGAGAAATTTCATCATATGACATCATATGCAAGTAGAATCGACACACACCCCCTCTACATCGATTTTAAATCTACCCTAACAGCACGAATAGAAGCAGCCCCCGAAAAACTTATATGGCTTTGCTAACTGTCACTAAGTAACACCAAAAATTCCAACAGAATTGGGAAGCACCTCTCTTCGGTAGGCTCAGCCGAAAATCGCTTCATTTAAAATAGTGTACACCAACCTCGCAGTAAGTTGTGTGAAACCCGTTGAATCGGCTTTGGGGGTCTACATAAGAACGCATCATCTTGTAGTTTAATACCTAACCAAGACCTACTTTTAAAAAAGTGGGATTGGTACCGGTTAGCGACTAGTGGAAAGCATTTTGAACTAAAAAAAGTATACTCATTGCTTGAGACACATACTTAAGAGTTGGCAGCATATACATATGAATGTTACAAGTATCCAAAATTACATCTTTAAACATTTTTATTTTTTGTTTCTTACAGTTGTTTGATCTCCAATAACCTTATCGGCCTGCTTGGCATATTAACAACACTGGTGCTGAAAATTTACATACGAGAAGATAAGTTCAAGGCCTACGTGCGTTGGGATTGTACATTGAAGGTGTTGTGTCGCTTCTTCGGGCTCAGTTCCGGTTGCATTGCGGCGGTCATGGCCATCGAACGGTTTATGGCATTGGCAAAGCCATTCATCTATCATAAGGTGCGTACGGCTTGCTGGTCTTTTAGACAGCACATCCCTGCAGAAAAAAATGCTAATTGTTTGCTATAATCCAACAAGTTTACATTTTTACACCAATAACTTTATCTTTCAACTGATTTCCATGTAAACAACTGCTATTTTTAACTCGAAAATGTCCTACAAAGAAGATGCATCAGCTTTATACCAGTTAAAATACTGGTTGATTCATACCAGTTGAGAACTAGTTCACCTCAGACATTGCAAATGGTTGAAACGATTTTGATGAAATTTTTTATGTGTTCAGGTAGATTTGAGAATGGTTTTGAAACACTTCTTTCACGGGAAGCTGACCAGAGACGACCCATGGTTTTGAAGAAATGCATTTATGGTTCAATTTCTTGAAATTTGGTACGCAATTTTTTTTGCAGCAAGTGGATCACATATGCATTCGAAGCTCATCATTTTATTTTACAATGGCATAAGATATTAAAAATAACATTAATATATGAATGTTGTTGTTGTTGTAGTGTAAAATGCAAACTTGTGTGGTCAGAGCTTCTAAGTTACTTAAAAGATCCCTTTTTTTGCAAAACGATAAACTGGTATGAATTTGTCAATAAAATACTAGTTTATATACTAGAATTTTAGGCAACTAGTCCAGATTTCACCGAAAAATACTAGAATAATACAAGTTTATGGCAAACTAGTATATTTTTTTCATTTAAATACTAGTATAATTCTCGTTAATAACAAACTAGTCTACCTTTTCCCTGCAGAGATGTTACCTGTAACTGTATATTAATGTTAGTATGTGTGAGAAAATGTCAGCTTGTATATGAGATATGAGAAATACAAATATTTCCAAATGTTCCAAATATTTATTTACTTCTTTTCACAAACGAATTGCAACTTTTTTCTTCGAAATCAAATAATTTAATTACCTTCATCCAAGTAGATTATACATATATGGGCATACATATGCTACATACATAATGTATGTCTGTATGTATATTGTAATTTTATGAGCCAATAATTTTTATAATCGAATCATCATCTCAATTCTTTCTTTTTCCACATCGCTAAATGCAGCACATCACATACGCTCTGGTACGTAAGACCATCAATTTATTTCTACTCATCGCTGTGGTCGTCACGTTTTTGCCCTTCATTGGTTTTGGCACCTACATCGATGAGAGTGATCCAGAAAATCCGAAATGTTTACGCTACCGTGATGCTGAGGGCTTTTGGAATAAGGCATATTCCGTGTTGTTTATGACGTTTGGTGAGTTTACTAAGTCGTTTTTTTTCCATATTGATGTTATTTATGTGCAGTTATGTGTGTGCATATGTTAAGATATTGTAGCATGATATTAGCATTACGTTTGTTTTAAGACTTATTATCACTTCTGAATATATGGAATATTCATATAATCGCCATAGATCGCAATAAAATTAATCTTTGCTTCAGCAGTGTGGGATGGCGCATTGTCATGATGTAAAACCATTTTACAGTTACCCTCAGACCATTTGACCCTTTTCCAGTGGAAGAGCAGCTACGATTTTAGATCGGGTAAAGTAAACTGACTTCATTACTTTTGCTGCTGACTCTTTTGTGTCTTAGATGTTATGGGTGGGTTTGTTCCTGTTGGGCTCCATATCATGGACGGCTGTTTGGTTTCTCGATCGTACTTATGGAACCAAGATTCGAAAAAAGTTTAGGAAAAATTTAGCAAAATACACTCGAGTCTCTTTTTAGACCTCATTTAAGATTCGTGGTACCCATCAAACAGTTTTCTTCATTTATCCTAGATGATTGCTTAATATTCCCGATACAGCCATGGCAGGTGGAAGATTTTGATCGACCTCTTCGGTGTTCGTCCTCTACGGAAAAATGTCCGGTCTGGAACCTTCGGTACCATTTAGAAATAGGCTTTAAAGACGGTGCAATCGTTCCATATGACATTTGGCATTCATTGAATATTTATGTTGGCTGTGAATTACGCCGAAATCCGAAGAGAATTTCTGTTTCCCTTCGAAGTGGAATTTCGTCTGAGCTATCCTCAGCTATCTTACTATTGATTGCCTCCATTTTAACCGATCGTTCTAAAATTGTAAAGGAAGACTAATAATGTAATTGCAAAAGTTTTGGTATTTTTAGATTTAACGAAAATAAATTGAACGTCACCAACTGAGCGAACTTTTGTGAAGTCCCTCGTAATTGCTTATGTAGGCTTTCTCACACACGTGTACAAGTAAATAATTTATTAACAAGATGGAAGACTTGTATATCAAAGAACGGTATTATATCTATTTATAGTAAATGTGGTTGAATATAAAAACAATGCAATCTCCATATTGTTGCATACATATGTACGGGTAACTTCTTTTTATCATTTTTCCATTTTTCTGCAGGAATACATTTGGCGGTCTTGACGTTGCTGCTCAGAGCGCTCAGTGAAAACACTATAATTCCTTAAAGGTTGCCTTGGTGAGAACCTTATGCCTTTTGACCCATTTTGATACCATTTACTTGACATTATTATGGCAGTAGATGCTCAAGCTAACCCAACACGAAGATTTTCACATTTGCTTATGTGAAACAGCAAGAGGAAATCCATTAGAATTACGAGCAATTATTTTGTACCTTCTTTTTCATTTCAGTTATAGTTTTTTCGTCCCACAACATAATTATAAATGAATAAAATTTAATAAAAATTTGCACTTCTTCGAAGAAATATCTTTCTTACTACATCTTATAACCTCTCTTTATTTCCATTCCAGGCACCCTTTTGTGCGTCGTCATTGTCGCTTGTAATTTGTTCGTGATGCGCGCACTCTGCTTAATCAGCCGCAAGCGTGCCAGCAAACGTCACATACACTATGACACGCTGAATCGTGAGCAGAGCAGCATTCATTGCATCGAAGGCAAGTCGAGCAGCGGCGCATCGTTGTATCATCGCAGTAACAGTTGTAGCACAGTGACGGCCAACACATCCCCCGATGAGATTAAATTCGCCAAATTAATGGCTTTCCTAAGCATATCCTTCGTTATCTGTTGGATGCCACAAATGGTAAGCGCCACAGCGAGCACCGAGTGAGAATGAGTTCAATTGAATGCTCGTAAGCTGCCATTAACCTCAATAAAGCAATTAAATGTGACTTTATTTGTATGTACTTTATTTCTGTTGCTTTTTTTTCGTTTCATTCCAACGCAAATAGATTGCCATCCCCATGGCCATTTTACCGAATCGCGTCCCCAAGGCGCATCCTTTCTTCATCTTGGCTGATGCGTTGATAGCGTTAAATTTCACGTTCGATCCATACATTTACGTACTCAGTCGCACCAAACAGTCCTGTGTGATGGGCTGCCTTAAAGGCTGTCGCTGTCAGCTGTGATATTCACAGCAGAGGAGAGGAACGTGCGGCAGCAGAAGGAGTTGTGCCTTCACAGACAGATCAACAGAGTTTGTCGTCTTTAAATTGTAATAAATGTGATTTAATGCTTTCATTACACGCGTAGCTGGAACGTTGGAGAAGGAGTCCTCGAAAGCTTATTATCAAAAAAGCACATTTTGGAACATTCATATACATATGACATACATATAAAATACAACAAACTATCATATATTTTAATGCATTTATACATATTTTTGTATTCATACATATATGAGGTGTGTTCAAAAAGTATCGCGAATTTTGAATTTTCGCGGGTTACGTAGAATCGAATTTCGATTTTTTTGTGGCGTTATGTTGGTACTCACCTCTGTCGCTTATGCCAACAAGCCCCAGATCTGACCCCTGTGACTTTTTCTTGTTCCCTAAACTGAAGAGGCCCATGAAAGGACGACGTTACGCTACGATTGACGAGATAAAGACGAAGGAAGTGCTGAAGAAGTTATAAAAAAATGATTTTTTGAAATGCATCGAAGATTGGAAAAACCGTTAGCACAAGTGTATAATATCTCATGGGGATTACTTTGAAGGGGACAAAATAGATATTCATGAATAAATAAATAATTGTGGAAAAAACACAAAATTCGCGATATTTTTTGAACACACCTCGTATACAAATTTATGTCTAGCAAATTCATATATGTATGCACCGCAGGCGGTGTAATTTGTATGGAGCTTCATAAACGGCAGAAAATTGTAAAAAAAATAAATAATTTTAAGAATTTATGTAAATAAATATATACATATATATTTAGTAAGTAGGTTTGTAAAAATTATTTTATAATTTTTACCTTTGTATTTTTTTATATTCACATGATACTCACTTATCGCTTTAATGTTCGATTATATATATATATCTACATATGTATGCAGCTTAATTTGATCTTTATTAGTTTGTACTCGAAATTTGTATTTTTTAAAAAATTTTGTTTTTAATATTTTTAATAAAATTAATAAAATATTTCGGTAAAAAACGGTCTCTTTTAACTCTATGGTATTTTTGAAAAACTTTATTTGAGCAGATTGAACACCAAAAAAATATATTACTAGTTTCCCAGTCCACTTCATCTTCTTCTGTATTACCGTTGACACCGCTTAAGCGATTCTGGCCAAGGTAACAAGCACGGAGTTCGTTCCTTCTTGTCCCTCTGTGACGTAAATTGGAAATAATAAGTCCAGCCAGGTCCTTTTCCATCTGATCACCCGAGTGCTTACTTATTTTACTGGCGTGGACACCGTTTCCGCGATTATAGCAGAAATTATAACAATGCGCCCTTCGTTTCTTTTTTCGTTGTTTAACGACAATTGGAGATACCCACTAGAGTCAAGTCCTTCTTTACTAAGTCTTTCTAACGAAGGGTAGGTCTTCCTATTCCTCTGCTTTCACCGGCGGGTACTGCAGGTACTGCTGGGTGGACGCTGCTTCTTCATTCGCTGAACTACAATATGTCAGTGTCGCCATATATCTCGTACAGCACATCATTCCAACGGCTGCGATACCAACTCGTAGAGTACCGTAAATCTTACGCAAAGCCTATCTCTCGAAAGATCACAGAGTGGTCCTTCCTGACGCTGATGGAGCTTTCAGTGTTGCTTAACGTCAGTTTCCATAGTCGTATAAGCTTTGATGGGATACCAAATCCAGTCATAGTGGCGTAAAGGCATTCGTGCTGTCGAAGGTGGCTTTAAAATCGACGAAAAGGTGTTGGGTGTCGAACCTCTTTTCACGGGTATTTTCCAAGACTAACTACTCTAAACAGTTTGTTGACGCTGGGCTTTAGTGTTTCACACAATACACTTGATAGGGCAATATACGCGATATTACAGAGGCTTTTCCCACCGTAATTGACACAGATTGTGGGGTCTACTTTTTAATGGGGACGGGGCAGAGCACACCTAAATTCCAATCGTCGGGCATGCTTTCGTCTTGCCAAATTCTGCAAATTAATTGATTAATGCACCTTGTCAGCTCTTCACCGCTATACTTGAATAGCTCTGCCGGTAGCTCCTCAGCTTCGGTCGCTTTCGCTGCGACAAGACGGAGTTCACGCACGTCAATAACACTGGAGACATGTCTTCTTGATCGATCTGGTTGAAAGTTTTCCGATCTGGTTGAAAGATATCTTCTTTGCCCACTTTGGCATTAAAATCGTCAAGCACGATGTTCACATAGTGGCTAGGACAGCGTTTATAAGTTTGCTCCAGGCGCTCATAAAAACCATCTTTGGCAAAATACTTCTCTTCCGTCGGGGTGAATGCCTGTTTCTTTGACGGAGTCTCTCTTCCACTTTAAATCCAACACCAAATTCGCACTCCTTTATGCGGCTACTGTAGTAAATGTCACAAGGTCCTACCTTCTTCCGTCTGTGTCCCGTCAGATGTCAGCCTTTATTCTGACGAGGACATCAGTCAGCTGGACAGCGGCACTTTCTCAACTAAGGGACCATACATTTCAGTTGCATGCTCTCGAATCATGATCTTTTAAACGTTTGCTAGGTTCATCATTATAAGCGAGGCCTCTCATCCGAGGCATGTAAAATTTTTTTCAGTGGAGCTGGTTTTTACTTGGCGGTTCCCGAACCCAGTGCACAACCTCACTAGGTGAATAAGTTTAAAGTTTTTACAAATTTTCCATGGCTAGCCAAAGTGAACAGACGCTGCAATCATACTTGAGGAAACCCTTTAAACCAAATAAGTCGAAGCGGCTACACCGAAGCTTTCTCTTTTTTCGCCGTGACCCAAGACACTACACGGGTTGGTTACCGCAACTTGCACAAGGGTTGCTCACGTTTCCAGGGTGCGCTAAGTGGACGCAAAAGAAGGGATTGAGTATTGCCCCGCGACCGTAATTGCATATCCAGAAGCTGGGGGTGTCCCGATTTAGCATCATATGCTGGCTTTGCTGAAGAGAAGTTGAAAAAAGTCGAGAGATCATCGAATTTTTCTAAGCTTTCTTCTTCTGTTTATCTTCTTTATTTGGCGTATACACCGCTTATGCGTTTAAAGCCGAGTTAACAGAGTCTTATGACGATAATTATATTTATTTTTTAGTTTATTAACATTTTGTTGATATTCGAATTAAAATAAATTTATAAAAATTTATGCACTAACTACAAACGTGGCAATTATTGACAACAGTTATTAGCGTTTGAACAAATTAATTCTACAACATCGCTAATCCCTTATGTACCCGTATACATATATATATACATATGCACTATTAAGCAGAGACAAACAGAAGAATGCACTCGAGATATTTAACTTATTATTCATTTATAAAATGTTTGTGTTATCTACTTGGCTTTGCCGAAAACAAAAGCGCCACAACAACTAATAAACTCATTGCGCATGCATAACAGCGACATGCGCACTCGAGGCGTGAGTACGTGTGCGAAATGAGAATGCATAATCTACACTTTTATAATTTTTTTTTTTTTTCAGACAAAACTTGCATAAATTTATCCATCATTGTCTCTCTCAAACAGATTTATTTATTGTATTAAATTGAAAATATTTGACAAATAATTTATTTCATACAAAAGAGTGCGCAACTAAATGAGGGAAAAAAGAAAAAAACACAGAAAAATGCAAAAAATTCCAAAAGGGCGCTATAAATCGAAAATTTGCATTTCCTGGGGGGGAAAAAAAACACTACAAATCTCTGCATCTCCATTTCCATTTAACGTTTATGTGCATACATACATATGTACAGATATGTATACGCATAAAATAATTGCTCGTACGCCACAAGCAACGCGTCTGAATTTTAATTGCCTGCAACAACAAATAATGTATTTAAAATATTTTTCGTTATTCTACGTAAACAATAACAGAAATCAGGCCTACTGTGTGGAGACAAAAGCTTATGAATATTTCCAAATTCGCTGAATAATTATCAATTTATTTGTATGTATGCCACTGTGTTTGACTCAAATGCCAAATTTTGCAAATAATAGTATTTTATTTAACTATTTTGCCAAATAATTAAAAATATTTTACTTTCTACATATTTGTCACGTTTTTTACATATTTAAAATTCCATTTGTAAAAAAGAAAAAATAATAATTACACTAAAGAAAAGAAGTAGTGACCGATGCCCGGAGTATAAGAGTACTGTGTTGATGCAAGGAACACTTCTCCAGCCAACCCAAAAACAATGAATGTGAAACATCCGTAGGCGTTGCAGTCGTATCCCCAATGATAATGAAAAATTACGCTTCATTACCCGACTAAGTCCGAGCAAGATTAGAATATCAAAAGATGGCTAGAACCAATGATTTACCGACTGAGCTTTGTAGTTGTTGCGGCGAAGAACTGAGAACTGACAAAACGTATAAATCAGCTACTTTGTTAACTTTGATCCGATGAGTATATGCATTACGATTAGAACCAAAGTATGCTTTGTCGAAAAGTGCAAAAAAGGGGAATCCCACAATTTGTGCTAATTATTGTGGCATAAGTCTCCCCAATCATCGTATACAAGATCCTGTCGAGCGCATTATGTGAAAGATAGAGCCCAAAGTCAACGAACTCAACCGAACCTGTGTGGTTGCAGAAGACCTAAAAAATCTGTAATTGACCAGAAATCTCCCATTTGATAACCTCCTCGTGGATTTTCAAGCGACCTTCGATAGCATATAACAGGCTGCTCCAAGCGGCTATGTTTGAATTTTGTATACCCACAAAACTTATACGGCTGTGTAAGCTGACGCTGAGCAACACTCTAAAAACACTCCGTCAGGATCGGAAAGTATCTCATCGAAATTGAGAGAAAAGTGTGCAACTGTTATCATTGCCATCAACTACCAGGCCGTGAGTACTGCTTGCTTCATCATGAAAAAGGAAACTAACGAGAACAAGATAAAACATATCCTGTCATAAAACAAGCAGTCATCGCATTCGTGACTGTCATTATTTCGAGGTCGTTGATAATTTCGTCTATCTAGGGACCAGCATTAACACCAATATTACTGTCAGCATTTAAGCTACTTTGCACTGAGTAGGCTATTCCTCTAAGTCCACTCTCGACGTACGAAGTACCTACAAGTCGCACATCATTGTTGTTCTACTATGTGTTAAGGAAACATGGACGCTGACAACATTGGAAGAGTCGTCGTTAGGAGTATTCGAGAGAAAGATTTAATGAAAATAGCTGCTCCTTTGCTTATGAACAACGGCGAATACGTCAGCCGAT